TTCATCACTGTGTTCTCGAGTCTCCAGTCTCTTCCTTAATTGTCTCCTGCTCTTCTCCCTCTTTTCCAACATGTGGGTCTTTGTCCATATTGGAATCTCTTACTACTTTGAGACTCAATTTCCAAATCTGCAACATTCAGACAATATAGTTTCTTAGGATTCTTGCAAAGATTAAACAAGATAATGCTTATGAAGGGTTCAGCACATTTGGTGTGCTGGAGACCATAGTAACTTGGAGACCATAGTTACTTGGAGACTATAGTAACATCCTCTGGATAAGTGCAGTTATTATTATTATCTGAGTCAGCAATGTTATTTATCTTGTAGAATCTTGAGAACTACGCAACCAGGGAAGGAGAATCCCTAGTCTATCTGTGTTGGTTCCGGGGACCTTGGAACAGTGTATATCCATATTCTAGAAGAGGAATGAACAATCAGCAGCAGAGGTGGGATTCAGATGAGACACACAATAGAACGGTCAAGAAGAGAGTATTGGTAAACTCTGGTAAGTGCAGTCATTCTTTTCTTTCCAAATGCCTAGATGAAGAAATAGAACATCCTAGAACTTGAATATTATAGCATGATCCTGTGTAAAGGCACAAAGACAGATGAATTGGCCTCATTATCATATTTCCCATTATCTCAGTAATTATTTGAATCATTCACTGTTCACTGGACATGTGGAAATGGGTACAGGCTGTCAAGCCCTCGATGTCCCTTGCTTTTGATAGATGATTAGCCCATTGTCCTCAGAGGTATTAAGGGCACAGAGATAGTAAGGAGCTCACCCACGTAACACAGTAACATCAGTAAGGAGGAACTGCAACTACCTAAGGAGGAGCCATAGCTGTTTCTCTGTGCCGGAGGCGCTGTCTCTTGGATCACTAGGGGAAAGCATGCCTGAGTCAGTCTAGCTCCTGCCTTAGAGTGCCAGGACGTCAAATCCTAGAATCACTTTTTTCCCTGATATTTGGGATTCTGAAACCTATTTCTAATGTAGGAGGGATGGTTCCCCAAACCACCAAGAAGTAATGCTGGGACACCAACTTGGGTATTTTAGAACCATCTCGATTCTAATACTGCCTACCCAGAGACTGCATCGTATTCACAGGTTAAGGACTGAGTCCTTGAAAGATTGCCTCACCGTAGTTTAGACTCCAGTTGCAAACCAGGGTGTTACTGGACTTCTGAGTAACTGTCTACAGAGGTTCTCCTAAACTGCTACTGGGTTTGAAACATTTGTCAAGTCAATTCCCAGCACTCTGAAAAACATTTTACTTGTTAGACTACCAGTTATAACCAAAGCCTATGATGAAGTATACAGCTGAGCATCCAAATGGAAGAGATGCATAGGGCAAGGCTGGGGTGGGAGGATGGTTCTGTTGTCCCTTCTTTAAGCAGTTCGCTCTCCCCAAGTTCCCACATGTTCACCAACCTGGCAGCTCTCTGAATCCCATTCTTTGGATTTTGATGGAGGTTTTATGATATAAGCATAACTGATGAACTCATTGGTTATTGGTGAGTGCTTCAACCTCCAGCTCCTCTCTCTACCCTGGAGGTTGAAGGATGAGACTGGAAGTTTCAACCTTCTGATGTCTTGGGTGGTTTCCTTGGCAACCAGCCTCCATCCTGATGTGTGGACCAAAACCACCTCATAATATAGCAAAACACAGCCGTATTACTTATAATCTAGGTGATTCCAAGTATTTCAAGAGTCCTTTGCCAGAAATGGGTACTATTAGCAAATATCTATCTATCTACCTATCTGTCTACCTACCTATCTATCTACCTATTTATCTACCTATCTATCTATCTATCTCTACTTATCTATCTACCTACCTATCTATCTATCTATCTGAGTGATAGACAGGTACATAAGACTTAAACATTTGGCCTAGCTTCTCCAATATGATTCAAACTTCCGTTCTTCCATCCACTTATCAGAATAGAAGCATTCTGTTCTCATTCTTTTAGGCTACTGCTTTCTGTTTTCCCTGGTACAAGCGGTCCACCTCATAGCTGAAACCTATCACCTTGCTGGTTCCTGAATACAAATACATGATACAGTTGCTGCCTGTCCTCTGCACTGTGCTGGTGGCAGACATCACTAATCCATCACAGCATTTTCCTGGGATACAACCTCAAAATCCTTCTTTAAACATGCTTTATTGGCATTTTAGATTTGATGGTGAAAAGGGGACAATTGCGAGATACTGGGGACCCAGAGGGGAATTACACTGTGAACTCCTTCAGGGGAGGGAACATGGCTCATCTAGCTTTGGTCTCTCCATGCTCAAAATTGTGCCTGACCAAGTCTAAGCATCAGTTAATGATTATTGAACCAAATATAGCCTGACTTAAAGTACTAATGGATAGTGATTTCAACAGCATCAGCAATCATAGTTTCATTAAAAAGAGTTTCTCTGAATCGCCTGGCCAATCTGCTAAGCTCTTCACAGGTGAGATTTCGTGTAATCCTCACAAAAACCACATGAAATTTGAACTAACATTTATTTCCATTTTGTAGGTGGGGAAACTGAGGCAAAGTCCAGCCCTTCAGCTGGACACAGCTGGTCTTCAGGCCATTGTTTGCTAATGGTAGTATCCTTAATCACATGGATTGAAACTACTATCTTTTAAGCAAACTTTCCAAATACTGTTCTATCACCTGTATGTGCATTGATTCCATTCATCTTTAGAGACAGATGACTTAAACATAACATTTCATCTTTAGAGAAACTTCATATTACTGATAAAAAGAAGACAACTGAGGCACAGACAAGGAAAGACATTCTTCCAGAATATGGCAGGACTGGAATTTGAAACGAGGCAGCTTGGCTTCCATGCCCTGACTTTATTACCCAAGACTCCCATCTTAGAAGGCTCGAAACTTTGTGCTTCTCAGTATGTGGTTCACCAGTTAGTGGTCATTTACACACAATCGCATTCACCCTGGTATATCCGAGCTATCAAGGACCGTGACCCCCACCCCAACCCAGCAGAAGCAGAAGCTGTATTTCTCAGACTTGCACTTCTCCCTGGAGAATCACAGCATCCTACACTTCAACTTCTTCACCTCTAAGGCAGAGGGGTGACAGCAGCTTCCCCTCCTACCTCACTTGGCTGCCGTTCCAGATCACAAAGCAAATGGGAGTTTTATCAACATTCTAGGAACTTAGAACAGGATCAGGCTGGGTGATGTTGATTGATGTTCATGGGGTAGACTCCCAACCACCCTCCTCTGCAAGTGACTCAGTTCAGACCCCAAATGTCATGACTAAGGATGATTTTAAAATAGCCCAGGCTACTTAGGGAGCCAATTCTCAATGGCTTTTAAAATGACATCAGAGCAATGTTGCTTCAATTAATTTTTTTAATTCAATGACACTTCAGGGTGGGAAATAGGGTCATCGGGGAGTGAGAATTTTCTTCTGGGGGAGAGAAGCGAGTCTAGTTTCCACTTAACTTTCAACTCCCAACTCCTGGCAGTCGCAAACCACTTTAAGCCAGCAAATGCATCTCTAGTTATCGACCAGAAGGGGTCGCTGTAGAGCGACAGCGCTCTCAGGCACTCACAGAAGCGGACACACAAATACTCAAATACACTTAGAACCAGATCTCTGTTTTATAGCTTCTGCACCCATCGGTCACTCCAAGGTTCTTTCCCCCTCTCTTCCTCCATTTTTTCCCTCTCTGTCTTCCTGCTCCCCTTTCGCTCCTATTCTCCTCCTGTTTCCTTTCAAAGAACTTCTGAAGTTCACATCGGTGCCCTGGTCCCTTGGGTCCTGGTCGCTACGAGCATCAGTAAGAAGCAGGGGGTTGTATTTGTTGTGGACAAAATCCGATGCCAGTTGTTTAGAGGCGTTTAAGATCGGGGCGCGGGACCCTTCCATGAACGTGTAGGCTAGGAGTGGGAAGGCCCCAAGGGGAGACACCCCTGGGGTGCTGCAACTCTCTTTTTCTTAACGTAAACCCTGGGAAAGGGAGGGGGATTAGAGAAATCCTCTCCAGATCCTCTGTCTCTACGGCTTACGTGTGATTCCAAACTTCCACTTTCTGAGATTAGGGTTGAACTGAGGGCGAGTAGATGATGGGGAAAAGATCAAAAAGTAACTATCTGCAATCTTCAGATATCCCCTTCCCCGTTACCCACCACCCAATGTGTTTGTTTGTTTGTTGAGTTTTAAAAAAAGTGGACGAGCTGAATCGCCCCTCTTAGATGGGATGGGTGAGATGTGGGTGGGGGTGGTGACTGTTCTATCTGGAATTGTTTGGCTGCCGGGACTGGGGGCAGGCTGGCTGCAGGCACAAAAGAGATCCCTCACCGCGCCGCTTGCACAGATGGAACGCTGAGCGCCTCTGTGGGCCGGGGCCCGGGTAGGCAGAAGGCAAGAAGCCGGGAAGCCGGAAAAGCCGAATTGGTGACGGATTGTCCATCAAACGGCACTTTCTGGGTGGGGACCACGCAGAGGCCAGAAGCAAAAGGGAATGGAGGCCGGGGACCGCCTTTGCCCGTTAAGGCAGTCCCATCCTGGAGTGGGGGTGGGCGGGTGACTCGGACGGATAGGTTAAGTTTCCTACTACCCCTTCAAAGGACGATCCTCTACAAGACTAGAGAAGCGACTAAGAAGGGAGGTGGCCGGGCCCGGAGGCACGCTGGAAAGGGTTGGGGGGGAAGTCGGTGATGGTGGGGGAGGTGAGCGGGCTGGAAAGCAAGATCACCAGCAGGGTTCAGTTCGGGGCTCCCGGATCGCTTCCCAGAGGGGTCAGCTCTGCAACTCTGTCGCCGCCGGGCCCCGTGACGGGCGCTCGCCCCGCCCTTTCTCCTCCCTAGACCTGCGGGCTTTTGTTATGCAGATGGCGGCTGGAGGCTGAGCCAAGGGAGGGGGGAGTTGGTGGAGAGGAGGGAGTTGATGGGGAGGAGGAGAGACCGGGAGGGGGAGGAAAGTGCAGCTCTCGCGACCAGCCTCCTCCTCCAACGTCACATTGTGCGAGAGACAAAACCCGGGCGCGCCTGAGCTCACACGCGCACGCACACACAGACGACCCCGTCGCCTCCTCTCTCCTGGCGCTGCCGAGAAAGCCAGCCCTTCCTTCTCTTCCTGGGGCGCCGAGGTTCAGCAGCTCAGAGAGCAACCTAGAGCCAATCGAGAAGGCAAGGAAAGCCGGCGGACCAGCCTTCTTTCTCCCCCTCCTGCCCGGACCGAGGCGCCCCATCCCCCGCCCTGAGCCCCGATCTCTCCCATCCCACTCCTCTGTCCTCTGGGTTTCACGTGGACGGAGTCCGGAGCCGGGTGTGCCCCCGTTGGGAAGCCACGTTTCAGCACTTCGGACAGCGCCCGGGCACCCCGGCCCCTTTGGGTTGGCTATGGCGAGCGTTCAGCAAGGCGAGAAGCAGCTTTTTGAGAAGTTCTGGCGAGGAACCTTTAAAGCTGTGGCCACTCCACGTCCCGAGAGCATCATCGTCGCCAGTATCACAGCCCGTAAGCCACTGCCAAGGTAATGACCTCCTCCTTAGGAGGGGAGACTGGCCGCCCCTCTTTCTGGCCTGTGCCCCAGAGCCCTGAGGGGTGGGTGCAGGCAGCTGGGCCAGGGCTCCTGTCTTTTCTGTCACTCCCGGGTACCTCCCGATGGAAGAAGAGAACTAATTGCTTGTGCGAAGGGGGACGCTGCTGAGAGGGAGGGGGTCTTACGGGAAGCATACTCAATGGGCGGCTTCTATTCAAGAGGCGTTGCCTGTTCAGGGTGGGCGGTGTCGGTGGGATATGACTTGACTGAGAAACTTTTCTTGATAGCACAGAGCTCAGGGGAGGGGGGTGAAGGGATGGTAGGTTTTGAGGTGTTTGTGGGTGTTGTACAGAAAGAAGATGAGGCTCGAGCCATCTCAAGCAGTGTTCAGAAACAGGGACACATTTCTATACTCAGCTCAGAAACTAGCAAGCTCTGAAACGTTTTGCAAAAGCCCATATGCTCTTCCTTCAAATACACCCTAAACAGCACCCTCCCCCATGCCTCTGGCGGCTGCTGCTACCAAATCTTCTCCTCTTCAGCATCTAGAACCTGGACTCTGAGCTCAAAAGGCTGAGGGTGTTGGGGGGGGGGCTCCAAGATTGTGGAGACAGTCTTGGAAGAGTTTTATTTGGTTTTTCAGAAAAAATCTGATTGCTTTGAACTCAGGGATGAGAGCAGATCTTGGGGGGGTGGGTGAGATGGGGAATAAAAAAGGAAAGGGAAGAAAGAAAAAGCGAGTGGGGTAAAGTGGCAAGGGGTTGGGGCAAGCAAATATTTTAAGACAGAAAAACCCAATTCTTTTCACCAATCATTCAGTTTAGAGGAGTTTGAGAATGAAAGGGAGAAGGCTGTGCCCTCTGTCAGGAAAAATCTAGGCAGCATGAGAACTCATCTTTTCCTGGTGTTGGATGAGTGGTTCAATGAGAGAAAAATAAAGAAAAGGGCAGGGGAGACCACTTGGAGGATTTATTAATCATGGCAGACTACATTGGAGAGTAGATTGAAAACCTGTCTGGAAAAGCACTTTGGACGGAAAGCCTGTTCTAGCACAACCGACTCCAAACTTTCCAGGGGTGGTGTGAGGCATGGAGGACCGAGGGGGAATCGTATCCAAAGAATCAAACTCAGACTGGAGAACTTTTCATAGCCTGATTGGAATCGGCTAAGATGGATATTTGGAGAAATGCATGCCCCATGATGGAATGGATGTGCTGGGAGCCCGAGGGCCATGGGAAATAGCCAGCTGCAAGCAGCAGCCAGGGCCAGTGTCCGTGAACATGAGGGAGGGGCCACCCTTGGACACAGGCTGGAGGAGGGAAACAATAACGCCCTTGCTTCTAAAAGCTCCCATTTCTCTGCCAGAAGGAGGTTCTTTGTAAAGAGTTTTGACGTCAGAGGTTTTTATCTTCCTGGGTTCTGTCCTTCCCATCTACCTTTGGAGTGTCCCTGCTGCTGTGACCAAAGAATATGCCCTTGTAGCAGGGACAAGAGGAAATTTCATCAGAAACTAAAAGTATGGCATTTGGTCCAGAGTCTTTGTGTAACTCAGGGGTTCAAGGAGAGGAGAGTGGTTTCCTGGGGCATTTCAAGTTAGAAGAGCCTGAAGTCCACCTTGCCAGAGCCTTCACCCTTTGCCCATCTGTCTACTTCTGCCATGCCTTTTTCTTGGCCATAATCTCATCATAGGCATTGCCCACAAGGTCTTCCCTCCCTGCATTTCTGTAGCATGACTGAGTGCATCTGAGACTCACAATGGCCAGCCTTCCACGCCCGGGTGTCATTTCACTTCTGGTGTCTTTCAATGTCCTGGATCTCCTTTCTGTTGGTCGCCACTCCTGAATTGAAATTCCAGCCCAGAAGTCCTTAATGTCTGTCATGCTGGAAGGATCTTCATCAATACTTCTATGACAGGTGTGACCTCCCTGTAGAATACATTCCAGGTTTATAGCTGTTGCTTCTGGTTTGGGATGAAGAGTGAGCAGAGAGCATTTGTATTCAAGTCTTAAGGAAAGGCGAGGTTTGAGTTATCTTTTAGCAGACTGGCTATAAAACCTGACTCATCTCTCTTCTCGCCAAAACCAGACACATCTAATGATGGTCAGTTTCCACCTCATTTTAATATTCCATACTTACTGGTGGGGAAAAGAACTGATGTTTCTAAAACAGAGTTCTTACAAAGAAAGAGGACAGGTACCGGTGTAGCAGCCTCTGGGTCCCGCGGCTTCCACTAGAGGCAACCTGGGGACTTGGTCTCACCAGAAATGTTGTTTCGTTCCGTAAGTCAAGCCCAGTTCCGTCAGCAGATCTGTCCAGAGAGAGGGAGCAGGTGACCCCAGAACCACCAGCTAGTCTGTTGGTTTCACATTCAATATTTGTTTCTAGAGGAGGGCTCGCCTGTCCATGAACTTCCCTGGGATATTTTAAGTCTGTCCCTGCAGATCATTTAGTGCTGAGACAGAAGCATACATTCAGTTGGTTGATTTCCTAGCAATAGGCATACATCATACACCCGCACTACAAGCAAAGCCTCCCCTGGTCCCTCACTCCTCTCCCCCCTCCGTGAGACATACTTGATGAGGCAATAGCTTTGTCATGTATCAAATTGCAAGCAGATGTCTGACTCAAATGTCAGGACAGTATAGCAGAGAGGGAGGCAGTATGTCATGGTGGTTATAGGGCTCAGAAGGACCCAGATACCTGTTCTAGCTCTACAGTTTAGAAGAGTGTCCTGGCCAAGTGACTTTACATGGCTGAACCTGCTCTTCCAGCTTGCAAATAAAAATAATCATAGTTGCCAGCTCGGACAGTGAGTTATGAGGATCGAATCAGGTAAAGCACTTTCCAGTGTGTGGGGACTGTTTAACAGATGTAGCTTCTCAAACAAACAGAGGTCTCCTGGCTAGAGGAAATCCACCATGCCTCCCGGGACTGAATTCCTCATGCCTACCCACTTCTCTCCCAAATCACGCAGACAATAAAAATTGTGGGAGTTCTACTTCTGACCAGCAAGGGCGAAAGGAGGGGGGTTGAAGGGAGGGAGGGGGAAGGTCACAGTGGTCCCTCTTCTTTCCAAGGGAAGGCTAGCTGCTTTCTGCTCTGAATCAATTAGGAGGTGGGGAACAGGTAATGAAGTATCTGGTTTCAGAATTGACTCATATAACATTCTTGGTGTGTTTTTACTTCATATAGAGACAACCAGGCTCAAACTCCTTGAAAAATCACAATTTTAATCCCTAGCTCCATCAAATCTAAAAGAGCCAGATCATTTTCCACCATACTTCAGTTCCTATCCTTTTGAAAGGGGTTGCTATGAGAAGCAGTTCCAAAGGGAACGATCTAACAGGGTCTGTCCCAGGCACACCAGGACGGAGGGATCCCACAGCTCACGAGGAGTTAGAGAGTCAGCAGGAATCAGTATGATTCTTGGAGTAGAAGAGTTCCCCTCCTCTGTTTCCACCAAAAAATTGTAGTCATTTTGCCCAGCATTCTCTTCGTTAATTGCTTAATCCAGAAAAGTTTGCCCTAAGACATTTAGGCTCAAAGTGGTAAGTAAGCCTGGTGTTTGAGGCCAGCTCGGACTGAAGTAATAAGGACAAATAGAGTCGGGGACTTCGTGGACATACAGAAATCATGCCAAACCAGCCTATCAATCCTTTGTGGATATAGAGCTATTGTCAAGCCCTGGCAAGGCAGCCCCCTTAAAGAGAACAGCTCCCCCTTACAATTCTTTGGCAAGCTATTAATTTTCTTCGAAAATCCTTTCTATGCAGAATAGTCCAGAAGCAGAGTCCCTGTCCACAGGATCATAAATTCCAAACTATTGGAGATTTTTTTTCTATTGGAGATTTTACTGTGTAAAAGGGAAGGTGGCCAAATGGTAAGGCAGGAAAAATGCCTTTGAACCATTTAATTCAAGTCTCCCTTTTGTGCCAAGAGATCAGTTAGCCACATTTGTGCTGACTCTGTCCTCAGAGCCAGTGAGAGGCTGTAGGAAAGTGATTTCCTTACAGCTGGTAGTCGAAATCCAGTGTACCCAGGGTCAGGGAGAAAGCTTGTCCTGGAGACCAAAGAATGTTCTTCTCTAGGAAGGGAGTGTTATGGTTTGGGGCAAATTTTCCTCCTTCTGAAAGGTGAAATCTGTGGAGTAGAGCACGCGGGACAGTGTGAGGGGATCACTTCTGATATGGCTGTGGTCACTTGTCAACTGGGCTATCTTAGAGATGGGCTGGTGGTGGACAGTCAGTGAAAATTGGGGGCATTAATTGAATGAGTGCACCTGCTTTAAATCTAGCAGCAGATTAGCTCTCTCCCAGCCCCGCCCCCAGCCCTCACACACTGGGGACTCCAATCAATGCAACCCCGCAGAAGCCCACACTGCAAATAGGTCTGATGCTTCCCCATGTCAGAATGGAGCTCCCTAGGCAGAGACAACTCTCTGGCAGGGGGAGAAGACCCGTCAGCAGGAGGTTGGGCTAAATGCCACCTGCGAGTGTTTTCCAAGCCTATGAGTCTCCACCCCCACTTCAAGTCAAATAGGGAAATAACCTAAAAGCTTCTCAGTAAAGGGGGAAAAGATGGGATCCCATGCCTCCTGCTACCTGAGCACACCAGGTAGAACCCCACTGACACAAAATATTTAAAAGCTATCCTTTGTTCCTGAGTGGCTGACTTCACCTTCCAGGGAGGAGGGAAATTTGCAGGAGCTTCACAAAACCTGAGTTCTTTCATTGCTGCGGCGAACTCTCTCTGGGGTGGAAGAGAATATTCCTGAGGTGGAGAGAGTAGCATGGTGAGGAGCTGGAGTACTGAAGTGAGTTGTAGTCAGGCTGAAATCCTGCTTTGCTACCTCCTAGTTTTGGGATCCACTAGTCACTTCACCTCTGTAGGCCTCAGCTTCCCCTTGCGTGAATCCTCATCTCTTGGAGTTGTAATGAGGAGGGGGTGGGGCAAGTCACATAAAAAACAGGGCGCAGAGCCTGGCATAGGCC